GGCTGGGTCAGACACCCCCTGGGGCCCTCCCAACCCAGTTCGTTCTGTGCTCCCAGCTTTTTATTTATGACCAGTATCATTTCAGCTCATTGAATATTTCCAGGCTGCTCGTGGCGAGCTTGGCACTGAGCCTGATTGTCCTAAGGTCTTCACAAACAGAAGCCACCGTGATTGTTTCTGTTATCATTACGATTGACTATCACTATCTTGGCTCCTGTTTCCCTTAACTCTTAACATTCTCTTATTGTCGCTCCCTGGTACCCCTTCTATCTGGATTGCTTCCCCATCCTGGCAAAGAGGCGGGGGGGGGGTGTCTCAGGAAGAGGGAGACATGATTCTCAAAGGACTCAGGGCCAAAGGGTAGGGATTTCTTTCCCCTCTTCCACCTTGGGAGAAACCCCAGGATTTCTGGGGCTCTTGCTGTCTGTGCTGTGCAGAGGAAGGAAAGAGAGCCCTGGGGCGGAGGGTGGAGGTGGGTCCAAAGTTCCTTCCTGCCACCACCCCTGTCTGTCCTGGGAGCTGCTGTCACCATCATAGTGCCTGTGAGTTTGCAGCAGGGCAGAGGGGAAGGAAGAGGGAGCTGGAGGGGGGAGCTGGAGTGAAGACGGTGTCTGTGTGTGCAAGTTGGGGCACGTCGATCAGGTGCCAGAACCCATGGGACTTGCTGACTTAAGGGGCCACCACTGGGCAGAAATCCTGCTAATAGGTGAGTGTACTGTTCCATTCAGATGTGGATGGGGCTGGTGCGTGTGTGTGTGTGTGTGTGTGTGCACAAAAAAGAGAGATACAAAGAGAGATAGGCACACAGAAATAAATACAAAAGAGACTGACAAAGGGAGAGAGAGAGACCAGAGATAATGACATACATACAGAAAGGAATGGAGTTGGGACCACAGGACCAGAGACCCAGAGAGAAATAGAAGGACAGAGAGGCAAAGAGTGAAAATAACAGTAGAAACTGTAGCAGAGGGGAAAACAGGGAGGGACAGATAGGAGAGAGGGAGACAGAGGACAAAGAGACAGGAAGGAAAGTGTGCAAACACACAGAGAAATAGACTTGGGGAGTCGTGGAGAGAGAGACCCAGCAAAAGAGAGGTAGGAACACAGCGGACAGACAGGTCACACCAGGGGACGGATATGAAATTTATGCTTAAAGGGTCTCTGAGCTAGAATATTTTGATACGCATTTTGGAGGCAAAGGAATGACTTTTCAACGGGTGGTGTGCAAAACTCAGCCCGGCTTTGCCCTGTGGCCCTGAGGCTGGCTCTTCCCTCTGGCTGACCCTGGCAGGGTGCAAGGGGCTCCGGGGTCCCACGAGGGGCTGAGAGTCACCAGCTTCTCTGCAAAGTTTGCTTCCCCCCTGTGCACAGAAGGCAAGACCCTGTAGGGAGGAGGCAGGAGGGGAGGGGCCAGGTAAAGACTGTCTGCAGAGGGAGGTTGATCTCAAATGGGTATGATGAGGCCCACCGTCGATGACTGCACTCTCAGGATTTCTTTTATGACAGTTCTATGAAGTGGGAACTATTATTACTCCATTTTACAGATGGGGAAACTGAGACTCAGAGGACATCACTCGCCAAACAAAGCAATGGCAAAGCTGGGATTCAAGGGAAGGCAGTCAGGCTCTGGGTCCACAGGCAGAAAATGCAAACTTAGGAAATAATAATAATAGTGACTGAACACTTCCTATGAACCGTTTTAGGCACGTGACATCTGATATCGAACCCCACAACAACGCGACGGACTAGGTTCTATCCTCCCCATTTTGCTGCTGGAGAAACTGGGGCTCGCAAAGAGAGCCCCGTGCCCGTGATCGTGGAGCCAGGACGCATCAGAATCAGTGTTTGCTTCCAGATATCCTAAGAGCTCATGCCCTTCACCGCTGACTCAGCAGGGAATGGGGCCGTGCCTGAGCCAGACTGGGGTCCATTGAGGGCTGGAGAGAAACATGGCTGCCAGCCTCTGTTGATTGGGCAGATGAGAGGGGTGGGGCATGGGACGTCAAGGTCAGCTGTACCTAAGCATGGCTGCTGGGGTGGGGGAGGGGGTCCCCACTCAGCCCCACAGTCTCTTCCAGTCTTGAAACTGTGTCGAATGGCCAAATGGAAATCGGACAACTCCTGGTTCCCCTTGCCTCCCCTTGCTGGGGAAATGTCTCCCTGAGGGCAAGAGTACCAGAGGTTAGTTTCCCCCATCAGAGGTAATAGAGGTTCCGGTTTGTGAGGGGATAGGCTCTGTGTCCATCCCTGGGCTGACAGGAGTCACGCGGTGTTGAGAACACAGTTTAGGGCCTGGCAGGCCACGTTCAGTCTTGTCTTCTGCCGCTCACTATAACGGTCTTGGAAAGTGACTCCACCTCCCCGAGCATCTCTTTCCTTCTGGAGTGTGGAATGAGGAGACTGGTCACGTCCCTCCGCCAGGATGAGCATCATCGGAAAGAGCACAGTGACCCTCAGGGGGCCGAATTAAAGGTTACCAGTATTCATTACCACTTCACGACAATCTTAGGATGCAGGTGATGGGATGCCTATTGTGCAGATGGACAAATTGAGTCTCGAGAAGATTAAACTCATGCCACAAGTCACATGGTCAATAAGTAGTGGAGAGGAGTCAAGCCTCTAGGGATGAAGTGTCATGTCCATGACCCTGACCTCCCTCCATTTATGACGACCATAACTGGATACTGCCAACCCACCTCTCCCTCCCTGAATGCTTCTTCTCTCTTTCCCACCAGCCTCACTTTTGACCATGTGGAGTCTGCCAGCTGCAGTCCAGCTCACCTTTGATGCCAACCCACTTACCACCATCCAAAGTGAGAAGGATGTCGTTCTATGTTTGCCCCCCCCCCGGGGACCCCAGACTCATAGCAGATTCAGAGATGCGAGCACAGAAAACAAGGCTCTCATTCTGATCCCTGCCTTCATACCTAAAACACCCATCGAGATTCCACGTCCAAAGTCCTAATAGAACAAATCTGATTGGCCAGCCAGGGTCTGGCAACAACCTGTCAGATCAGCTGATTTGGGGGATGGGGTAAAGGGGTGGATTGTAGCTGTCGTGGCTGGGGGTGGGAAAGGTTGGCTAAGACGTGGGTAGTGAGATCTGGCTGGCATCCGTTACCAGCCTGATTCTCCTTACAGCTGATGTTAATTGACCCATTGTCAGACCCCAGATCCTTCTGCTTTATCTGTACGATCCCATTTAATGAGGCTTAGATTGGAAGTAGGTTGTCCACAATCACACTCCAAATGAGCAGTGGATCTAACATTTGAGCCCAGGCATTGAGCTCATGTGTCTTGAGGCAATTGCGAACCACCCTTGTCTCTCTGGGTCCCTCTGTGGCTACATTTTGCTCGGCCCTCCTCTGTGTCTCTGCTCCTGCCTCCCTCTTTCTCTTCCTGCACAGAACTGCTGGCCAGACCCACCATTGCAATCAGCCAGGACACTGCCACAGAACAGAGGGAAAACCTGACCTTCTGCTGTAGCACCCAGGATGCTGATGTTACCATCCACTGGGTCTTCAACGATCTCCCCCTGGTGTTCCATGAGCGCATGCAGCTGTCCACAGATGGCAAGACCCTCACCACCCTCACTGTACAGCGGGAAGACTCTGGGACTTCCAAATGTGAAGCCCAGACTTTCCACCAGGTCCGGAGCAGTGCTCCCACCTTCCTGACTGTGAACTGTAAGTCCCTTTCCATTCTCCCCAGCCCCTCATCGACACCCCCTTCCTTGGTGATCTCACTCAGTCTCACTGCTTCAGATACCATCCAAATGTGGACTCGTCTACCCTTGGACTCCAGACGTGTAACCATTTGATGTCTCTACTTGGTTCTACTGGAAACTTCCAAGTTAACATATCTAAAACTAAGTTCTTTAACCTTCAGATGTGTGCTACAAAAGCTTGTCTGGGTAGGGGCAAGGGAAGAGCATTTAGACACGTCTTACAATCCTGCTTTACCCAGGGATAAGGCTGACATTTAATTTCCACTGGGTTCCTGTATCTCCTTTGTAATTGATCCAGAGCTTGGGTGGGGGAGAAGAGAAATATTAATATTTATCGACCCCTGAGCTCTGTCTCTCTCAGAAAGCCATTGCTGAGCTGTTGTTGCTGCTATGATTGTTCTTGTCCTTCCAGATGGTCCTGACCCCTTTGAAATCAAGTTGGAGTCTGACGTGTCCAGAGGGGAGGTGGTTGAAGTGATAGAGGGCTCCACTGTGAGCTTCTCCGTGGAAACACAGTCTCATCCTCCCCCTGCCTATACCTGGTTTCTCCCCTATGACTCCATCCCACCTCCCACCATGAGTTCGTTCGCCATCCAAGCTGTGTCCCGGGAACATGAAGGCACGTACAGGTGTTTGGTATCCAACGGTGCTACCCACCTGCTTCGCCTGGGTGCTCTTACAGTTCGAGTCCTTGGTGAGCTTCTTCTTCCTGTTCCTCTCCTTTGTTCCTCTGAGAATCAGAGCTATACCAGTATCCCAGAGGCTGAGAAGGACCCAGAGGAGTGGGGATTTCTCGTGTGGCTGGTGGCAGAATAGGGCTCTGACCACAGGGAAGGTCCTGGCTCCTGGCTTGACACGTCCTCCCCAAGACCTCGTTGGCTGTCTATGGGTTGTCCATTATTTGATTCTCTCTGAAAGTTGGGGGTGAGGGGCGGGCGTTGATTCTCTGTCCATACAAACACACAATATTCACACATCTCACACAGAGTCTCACATGCATAAATAATAACCACATATGCACAGCTGTGCACAATACACGCAATTTACATACGATACCCATAACACACAATGCAACCAACGTATAACCTACACACGAAACATATGACGTGCACACAGCTGACACACGATATACATACTCCGTAGCTACAGGCACACACGACAGTCATACACAAAGCGTGTGCACACCACACAATGACACACGCCACGTACATTCACATGCAGAAGGCCCACGTACACGATACAAACTCACAATGCCTCACAGTCACACGACAAATACGACACACGCATGCAGCGGACACAGACGTGCACACGAGACGCGTCCGTAGACCACACCCTCACCAAACATACAAAACCCATCACGTCCTCGCAATTGTTACACGACACCCGCAGCACCCGTATCACGCAATCACACACACACACACACACACACACACACACACACACACACAAGACATACACATGTATCCCTGGAAAGCCCCCAAGGGCCCCCCCGCCTGGGCTGGAGACTAGGGAAGGGGTCCCTGACCCCTACCCGTGTCTCTGTGTTTCCAGAAACGCTGACCAAGCCTCACATTGTGCCCCCAAGCCTGAATCTCGTGGAAAATGCCAGCTCCGTGGCCCTGACCTGCCAGACCCCCCATGAGGGGGCTGGAGTCCTGTGGCTCCTGAGGGGCCAGGCTCTCCTGCCCAGCGATCACCTGGTGCTGTCGGCTGACAACAGGAGCCTGGTCATCCATGGCCTCCGGCGGGACGACACAGGACCCTATGAGTGTGAGGTCTGGAACTGGGGCAGCCGGGCACGAAGCGAGCCCTTCAGGCTCGCCATGAGCTGTGAGTCACCCGGGCTGGGCCTTGTCCTCCTCCCTCCCTCCTTCCCTCCCTCCTTCCCTCCCTCCCTTTCCATTCTTCCTTCTAGCCATTTATTCCACAATCACCGAATACCTGCTGTGTGCCAGCCCTGTCTCGGCACCCAACAGGACGCAGCACCAGTCCTGGTGGGGCTTCTATTCTAGTGGGGAGACAAACCTTAAACAGCTAAGCAGGGGACAGATGTGTTGTGTCACCGCCGTGGGGCTAAGGAGAACCAGGAGGCAGCGAGAGGGGCAGGGAAGGCCGGGAGGGGAAGGCCTTGCAGTCTTAGCTGGGGTAGTCAGGGCAGGCTTCCCTGAGGAGGTGGCATTCCTGCAGAAGCTTGCTGGCAGCTAAGGGAAGAGAGCGCCGGGAGGAGGTAGCAGCGTGCGAGGTGGGTGGTGACAAGTGGGCAGAGGAACCCGAGCAGGCCAAGGCGACCAGACAGGTGAACTGGGGCGGATGGAATGGAAGAGGTCAGGAGGTTGTAGGGCTGGGGGCAGATCATGCAGGGCCCCGTGAGCCGTGGTGAGGACACTGGGAGCCACAGAAGGCTCTGAGTGGAGAGAGGAGAGGATTAGACTTAGGTTTTCCCAGAGTGTCCTAGGCCCTTGTCTATGGGGGGCGGGGGTGAAGCGGGG